AAAAAAAAAAAAAAAAAAAGAAATTTGTTTTTGAATGCCGGCGTGAGCTTAGCTCGATAACTTGGGTAACCTGGCCTCCACACAAGACGATGCGTATACTTACGCGGAAAGAAAAGAAAAAAAAAGGCCCTTTTATGCCACCACAGAGCACGTAAATGCAAGTTCACGTGGAGGCACCTGATACCCAAAGAAAAGCGACTACATGGCCACGAGACGGGTTTTATCGAAGCGGCTTTTTTGGCCCCCCGCCGACATGACACGGGCCCTCCCCAAAATTTCCATGCGCGCTCATCGCTCGTTGATCGTGATCGGAATGTTAACTCTGAGCCGCAGTTCCCGAAAAGAGAGAGCCGCAACGCTGGCGGGGAGCCAAGCCTGGTGCTGGGCGAGCGTCTCGTGCCGGGTAGCGATGCCAGCCATTTCTGCCAACCCACGGCCGTAGCCGTTGCTCCGAGCGGGGAAGTCATCGTCGCCGATGGCTACTGCAACGACCGGCTCGTCATCTTCGACGCCGAGGGCCGACTGCTCGGCCAGCTCCCGCCGACCGGCAATCCAGGTAACCTTTGGACCTACACCCCCAAGACCGGAGTTCCGGACAAAAATGAGTCTTTTATTGCGTACAACATAATAACATATTATATCGATGCAATATAATATAATAATAGTAAGTATACAAATATATATATGCACGCGTCGAAGAAACATTTTTTACTTTCAAACAAAAACAGCTCGGGATTTTCATCTTATCCTCCATTTACTTGACGTACATTTCACAAGTTCCCTTATATCCAGAGGTTAAATATTAATTTTAATCAAATATTGATAAATTGAAAAATAATAATCATCACAATGAAAAGTACACACACACATAAAAAAGTACGCGAATCAATAAAAAAACAAAGTAACGATTAGTATAGGATCTAAGTATACTGTATTAACAGTTTATGAATAACTATTTATAATTTCGTGCCGTACGAGTCTTTAAAGGGCTGAAGGTCTTTGTATTGACTATCCTTATTTATGACATCACCTTGTCCCATGTAATTACCTATAATTTTCCGAGAATTTTGCACCTATCGGCGATCGTATCGAGTAAATGTTGCACGTACATTGGGATATTGTTGAATCTGTCGAACGTATGACTTATGTTTTTTTTTTCTCGATGGCCTGTACAGATTTTCTGCGACTGCGAGTGCCCCACAGCCTGACGATGATGAGGCGCGGTGACGTGTGCGTGGCGGACCGCGAACACCAGAGGATCGTCTGCTTCAATCTGACGCGGTACTTGGCTGCAGAGCATCAGCGAGAAGTCAGCGGTGCCGGCGCGGCCGAGCAAATGCTTTCGTGGATGCCCTTGACTATTCATCGGCCGGGCGTCTGCAGGATTTTCGGCGTTGCTTCGCACGGTCTGTACATGTTTATGTCTCCGAGTAGCCAAATGTCCTCTTGTATGGCGCGAGCAATGTACGAGTCTTACATAGCCTGATAGCCACGTTTTAAATTATATATTTGTTTCCGAGGGAACCGATGCATTGTATAATTTAATTATTTTCTGCCAAGGTCATTTCTCATAGTTTAAGTAAATCCATGCGCACAATCGACAAAATTTGTTAAGAAGTAAAATTGTTCCATGCTATTCCTTTAAGAGGGTATATTTTTTTTTTTTTTTTTTTTTTTCAACAATCCTTAGTATAACCATAAGACAACTTTTTGTGCCGTAAAAATCGTATTTTTTCGATACTAGCGTGACACGCCAACAACAGTTCCATGATTGCTCTAATGAAAGATGTATAACTCATCGCAGCAAACATCAAAAATGAAGAAAAAAAACCTTCAAAGAGGGGAAAACGTCTTTTTACACTTACGTACTCTTTGAGCTGGAATAAAAAGTATATGCTTCGCTTTAAAGACCTTTCTTGTTTTTACATAAAAATTACCTAATAAACCACAAAAATCTTAATAATTGAGGGATAATTATTGTGAAACTTTGGAACCCACGGAATCGTTAATTGCTTCATTTTAACCATTGAGTATAGGAGACTAGGCCACAAATGTTGCGAGTTTCGATGGAATGGTCCATATGTATGTACGTGAAACAACAAAACGAGGTGCCCCCCTTAACTCCAAAAAAGGGAGAACTGTTGATAGGGATCCCTAAAATTCACCCGCCCACTCCCTTTCCACTTTTTTTTCGGTTTTGTTTTCGAGACAGGTGCTGCAGCATCATTCGTTCCTGTAAAAGAGAGCCACGTATAAGCCTTTCTTTTCTCTCTGCTCTCCTTCCAAGCCCTCTATCGTTTTGAGAAAAATTTTCACAGCACTCTCTAGGGGTTCATAGTGGGACCGTGAATGGTAATTTCGGGGTGATGGATGAGTAAAGTAGGTATATAGGGTATAGGGTAGGTGTGTGCCGAGAATCCGATGCATGTGTATGTACACATATTTTCTACATTATATTATGACATGACACATTTGACATTAGATCGGGGATGAACGTTTTTTGGACACGTTAGAAGGAAAGCCTTTCAGAGGCGTGTGCATCGAATGTTCGGAAAAAAAAAAAAAAAAAAAATAGGCATACTCATGGGTGAGGCAGCGAAATACTTATGAAAAACCATAGAAAACTTTTTATATGCTGGTGAACATTAATTTAAAAATCAGGTGATTAGTCAAGTGAATGCCACGTTAGTCATATCTACGAGTAATTTTATCAGCAGGCAAATTCATAAGTTGTACCAGAAGAACAGGATGGATCCTGTCTAAATGCAAATTTATATGATGTAAGAACAACAACATTTTCCTCGGCTGTGATATTGTGTGCCTTAATTTTTTGATAAATACATTTTTTTTTTTTTTTTTTTTTTTTGAAAAAAAAAAATATTCTCAAAATTCGTATTCCAAATCAAAGAATTCATTTTCAAGTGAGTGAATGTTATTTTTGCGGAAAATTTTTATTTTCAAGGATTCAAGATTTTCTGTAGTACGTACAGTGCATTTTCATAAGATTATTGCGAATTTCTGTGCAAACAAAATTCAAGTCAAATAACTATTTAGTTAATTGACGAGGTTGACAATAGTAATATTTATTTCATGAAAATAAAATAGGTATATTAAATAAAGAATATTAAATTTGTCGGTATTTGTATTATTATACACAATTAGACATGTTTATTTGGTGAATTTAATGATAATGATGATGACGATGATGATGATGATAATGAAATATAAAAATATAAGTAATGGCAAAAACTACTGTTTGATAAATGGACGATGAGGAGAATGCTACAGCAGTATCCGCGATACCAAAGTTGTGCAAGAATTTTGGCAGGGTAAAAAAAAAGTTTCAGAAAGATTGTCACAAAAAATGACAGTGAGAAAGAAAGAACGTAGAAAATCATCCGAAATAGTAGGACAGGGCCAACTAGAAGGTCAAACCGAGCAGCTGGCTTTGCACGTGCACTTAATGTTTTGAAGCAAAGGAGCGTCCATGTAGCAGGAAAGCTGAGAATTTTTATGCCTCGCAAGGCGAAAAGCGAAGAAAAAAAAAAGAGAGAATATATGTATATGGGATCTGAGAAAAAGTCTCGGGGTCCTCTCCCTCCAGCTGGTTCTCTCTCTCGCTGAGGTACCTGCTCTGGCAGGACAATGGTCCCTCGGCGCAAAACGGTAGCACAGCCAACACAGCAGCTTATAATGGAACCCGAGGCACAAGGCACATTTTCTCTTGGGTGCATGCTCTGATCTCTGCATAGCCTTTACTTAAACGAGAATACACCAACTACATCGATTCGTCATTAATTATGACGACGAGATCCAGGAAACTGTACAAATTGAAATAAAAGCATCACAAGAAAATATCCCTTCACAAATGAAGTATTAAGATTTAATACATGATACCTACACAGTCTTGTCGCACACTGATATCACGGAGGTCACGGGTTATAGAAAAGTAGCGACTCCAACTGTACTCTTTTCAAACGTGATAATTCAACACTTTTGTAATTCGAAGGGTACGAAATTTTTTTTTTGTTTTTCCTTGATCAAGTATGCAGTTATGCATGATATTTAAGTAATTTGACTATAGGAAGCCGATCTCCATGTGATAATTAGCATTGGTGGATTTCATACGTTATGGCTCGCGGGCAACGAAAAAAGCACAATGGGCGAGATCTAATTGGCTGCCCTCGTGAAACGGTTACTCCGATTGGACAGCGGATTCAACAGTGATACAGTTACCTTTGACGCGCGCCCTTATTTGATGTTCCAAAACATGGGATAATTACTTAAGTATACGTAACACATGTATAAATATTTCATGGAAGTTGAAGTAATAATAACCAATAAGTATAAAGAAAAAAAACGTGTACAAGTGTTGTTATCCATGCCTATATGGATGTATTCAACTGATATATATATATACTGTTGAAACCCTGGGCATGCAGGTATAATACCTACGTTGTGTGTCCATTGTCATAGGTAAACCGATGGACGTGCGCTTGCGCCAGTCCAGCTTGTGTTCACGTATCGATCCGACCCGGGTGCTACTGTGCTGCACGCTCAACAAGCCTTGCCTAATAGAAATATAAATTCGTACCTCAACACTCCAATCCTCTTCCCAGCCTTTTGGCACTGACGCACGCGTACAAAAAAAAAAACAAAAACAAAATCACATACACCCACACGTTTTTCCTCAGTCTCCCCTGTCTCGTCGTAGACCTTGAGTTTGTGGTGACTGGTACAGCCCGGCGAAGACAAGAGTATTGGAGTCGCATCGTTAGGCATCAGTAGGTATAATACAAGAGGTAATACGTAGCGCGCGAGAGACATCATCAGCATCATCATCATCACTAGGAGGAGAATCATCGAGGGGGGTGTCTGTCCGATTTAAAAAAATCTCACGCAATTGAGATGGTGAAAGTGTGGCTCGTGGCTAGTGTGGCAGTGCTGGTGATTGCGACGGGTGCCCTGGGGGCTGCCGTCGTCGGAGCCGACCTATACGACGCCCACGATGGCTTCAACGGTCTTGGCAACGAGCTGGCTTACGAGAGACGCGAAAACGAAGCCATCGCGAGCCTCTACGAGAACGTCCTCGATGCCCTCCAGGTGATCATTACCGCATACATGCATGTACACCTACTACTTTCATTGTTGATATTCTTCCTGTCTTTTTTTTTTTTTTTTTTTTTCCCCTTACCATATAGGTATACATGTATATTTGATGATTTTACCTATATGTATATACGTATGTGTGTGTGGGTGTACCTATACAGTGTAAGCGTGGGTCTGTACCCTATAATCGTAGGCTGCAAACCTGTTGCGTAGGTATACGAATCCAACGAGCACTGCTTACAATGTATAGGTATAAATATATTGTAGTTGTGTACCCATACAGGTGTCGCCCGCAACGCGGTAACGGATAAAAAGATTGTTTTGTTTGTTTTGTCGATCTAGTGCCGGCTCCCCCACGAAAGGCGAGTCGTCCTCGGAGCCGAGGGAGATGCGCTCCCGGATCAACAGCCCATCCAGGATTTGAACTGGAAGAGCCCCGAGGGTCTGGGTCAAATCGCCGGAGTGACTGTCGACCAGCTGGGGCGACCCGTTATCTTCCACAGGGGCAATCATATCTGGAAATACGAGTAAGACGCAGCGTTTTTTCACTCAAGTAAATTGACGCCCCACCCCCCGTACGAACAACCCCATCCAGCAGTCTGATACGATTTCGATTAAATATATAGGCGGGTATAGGGGGGTCGAGCGGAAAAGTAGTATACGAGACAGTTGGATGATTCAACGAGTAGGTATATCGTATTACTCTGTAGCTTGCTCGTGTGCCTAGAGGTTGTGGTGGCATGATGGCCCGTATAACATTTTAAACGCCCATGCAATCGACGTAGAATAAATCGTTCGCCTCTTTTAGCTCGCCGGGATTCGCAGGGAAAAATAATTAATGCATAACGTCCACCGTAATGTTTGCTTGCGCGCACACACACACACACGCATTGAAAAAGTGAAGACAAGAAGCGATAAGTTGAGAATGACTGGTCCGACGAAAGCCAAACATGTTAATCTATTTGCTCAGAATCAACGCTCTCTCTCTCTCTTTCTCTCGAGACAACAGGTAGTCATTTTGTTCGTATACCTGCGCGGTCGAGAGAAAAAGACGAGGCAAACAAAAATCCGAGCCCTCGCGAGTAAGGAGTCTCGTTTTCTCGGGCCTGTTTATTCACACCTTGACGATGTTTTCCCTGTACTTAATATGGGTACTCACAAGCAGATACAAGCGAAGAAAGACCGACCGCCAATGAGCAAGCAAAGGCTTTTCAAACGAATGAATAAAAGAAAAAATTTCTAAAAACGTGTGTCGCGTCCACCCTATCCATTAACGCTTGTCTCATGTAAGTATAGT